TACAAACTAAGATAATACTCATTGATTTACTTAATTCTTTAATTTGTGTTATTGTTAAAATATTCAAAACAAAATACTATTGGACCAAAATACACGCAGATGTTAGTCGCCAACCTTAAATACTTAGAATATTGCCATTATGTTAGTATAGTATGGATTTATTATTTTATATTCAAGATAATAAGTCCGTGTTCACAAAAACTGGGTACTGTTTGTTAGCAATCCAATTACCTACATACAGTAGGCGCCGATTTCATCCTAGTATATTTTTATCAAGTAATAAAAATGTTGAAACAAATGTTAAAGTATTGCTCCATTAAAACTTTACCGCTTACGAGTGAGCAAAAACCGCCATTGAGAATCTTATAATACCTAAGTGTAAAAATTATTTGGAAGCCTATATACGATGTTTTATTCATGTATTATTAGGTCTAAGTTTTTAACTATTGTTTATTTTCCTCTATATATTTCAATGATACGATCTTGATCGACATATTCAAATATGTGCGGAGCATCCATTAGGATTCCTATCGTGCCGGCTGTTGTTACTATGAAGAAAATGTACAGCTGTAGCCTGTCGATCACCATTGCGACGTACTTCCAATCTTCGCGCGTCTGAAATATGTACATGTTTTATTTAATTGCCAATTCATTTCCGTCCTATCGAACAGGAATTGAAAGTGAATGCTAATTTTAACTTACCTGAATATACAGATCCTCGTTTCGCAAGTGTTCTGCTATGAATTCGACCGCTTCAGTTGCTTTGGCTGCCTCAGGTGAGAGCAGTAAAGAATCGGAGCTCTCAGATTCTCTCCTCTCGCCGAGTCCCAGACCGCCCAGAGCGCCGAGCCCGCCGAGCGCGCCTACCTCGCCACCGCCCGCAGCGCGGTTGATCTTGCAGTTCGGATGATGAAGATCAGACAACTCCATCGCCTCCATTTTGCTTTGTTTCGATCCAATTGCGCTGTCGAATTAGTTTCCTAAGTTCATTTTATAAATGCTTGAAACTAAATTATGCAAAGCATGAATAGCCAGAAGTATAAGATTAATTACCGGCCAATAAATGTTTACATAATTATGTTTAACATAATGGTTTAATCAATCCGTAACTTAATCTACAAGTTTAAAATTTTTCCAATTGTTACGTGAAAAATTCTTTCGAGATCCAATTCAAGCTCTACAATTTGTGTCGTCAGAATTTGCCATTCCACTTAACCTTCATACAGGCATATCAGTGTCATTATTATGGCTTAAAATGCATTACCTAATATGTTTGGGAAGATCGTGTGGTGCGGCGGCGTGGGGCGGCGCGCCCATGCCTGGCATTTCCATCATCCACCGGAGGCGGGTCTTGCGCGGTCGACGCATGAGCAGCGCTGTAGGCAGGTAGTGCAGGAACACGCTTCGTATCCAAAGAGGCATCCTGCCAGACACAAATATTGTGCATATTGACAAAACAAACATACCTATTCCTAACCCAGTTCTTATCTAGAAATAATCCAATCGGTATTCACGTAACTGGCTCCTTAGCCCCATTTAATGTATCAAAAATACTTAAAAACAAACCTGTGAGTCCTCGGTCCTCGGAAGTTCCAGTTTATGATAATAACGGTGACTAGGATACTGACAGTATTCATAATGAATGTGAACAGTAAGTATTTAGCGATGAGCGGCAGTACTAATGATGTCGGTGGCAGGATTTTCGACACGAGCAGTAAAAACACGACGAGTGACAGTAAAATGCTTATGCCCAATGTAACCTGAAAGAAACACCAATGTTATAATGAAAATTGTATATACGAAAAAATAATCTTCAATTGTTGAATGTTGAATTACCTTTTCCCCGGCCTCAGCTGGTAGATAAAAAACTAAAACACATAGGAACGATATAAGTACAGTTGGTAAGATCAAGTTAACGGTGTAGAATAGAGTCTTTCTTCGTATTATGATGTAAAAAGTAATATCGGTCTCAGTAGGATGGTTGCCTTCGTAAATGTTTAGATATGCTGGTACTTCTATAATGTCCCAAGTTCCAGACTTCCAGTAGTCAGATAAGTCAACAAAGTTCTTGTTATTGTAGAGTGCCAGCGAAACTTGGTCGCCGTTGAAAGTCCACGAGCCGAACTTCATAATGCACGTTTGTTGATCAAAGGGAAAGTAGGTTACGTCGATAGTGCATGAACTCTGAAAGAATAAGTTAATTTTTAATAAAGAACAGAGTCCAAGTCTATTTATCCATTGTAATCGGGGAAATAATTTGTAATTAACCATGTTTTGACCATGTACCTGATAAATGGCCGGTGGCACCCAGAGCACTTCCCCGTTTGGATAAATGAGAACGTTAGATTTGTACCGCACTTCGTAGTTCCCATCGGCGCTGTTAACAATTCATTTAAAAATAAGTTTATCCTTGTCAGAATAATATAAATCATAGAAAACATATGTGTCCTAGAATATACTAGAAGTTGAAAGAACCATCGCATTGTGCAATCTTATTTTCATAAAAAAAAATGTGTATGAGAAAGTAAGATATAAATAAAATCCAGTTATTATAGACTGAATGTGACTCAAATCTTTCAAATAAGTCCGATACTTCCAAGAGATGACCAGTCTTAGCAGTTCCATAATGTTAATGTTATCTTACTTGTTGAACAACACAATGTCCGGTTTCCAGACTTTGTCCGGCGGCAGACGCAGCACGCCAATGCCCCCGTAGTCAGCCTCGTCCCACATCAGCTGATAGTCCATCCACACCAGGCGCAGCCACACGTTCGATTTCATTATTTGATTTTTCTCGTTCTGGAAACGATTAAGAAAATAATAAAAATTATTGCAATATACATCCGATTTCCCTTTCTATGTTTTCATCCTTACATTTGGTTTTTAGCTTGTCATAAGATTTTTTTGTAGTTTAATTATTTAATTAAGATGTAAAGCCATAGAACTAAACACTAGTTCTTCGTAGATCTGGAAATCCGCGTAAACAAGTCATCCGTTTATGTATTAATTTCGATGTATATTATAAAACCGTTTTATTAAATAGATGATACTTTTATTTTAAATGTAAAAGTGTACTTACAACATTGATAAGCTGTACGAACGCGAGTCCAAAGCGCACGTCCACTTTCTGTGTCATATTTTGCACTGGGCGGATGAGTTTGTTGTATCCGCGGAACAGATCTCGCACCAAACGCTCCTCGTCTTCGGAACACCATCCTGCCAAATGAAATATACATATGAAATGAGACGTCCAATTAAAATATTCATTACTTTAATTGATTTAATTTTAATTAACATCATAATATTGGAGATAATGCGCTGTGCAAATTGTGTAAGAATTCGATCTGTTTCTTTAATATATATTCTCCTCCATTCAAGTCTTTTCTAGAATATTTAATTTGGTGTGAATATATTGCCACCTAACGCACTACGCCGAGATGTTATACATTGAGATTCATCTGATGCTGTTCGAGTCAGATCAATAAGAGGAGCAAGCGAGATAAAATCTCTACAATATTCACATATAAAATTTTCACTTCAGAACGCCGTTATATTAATTCGCACTTATTTATTGAAGATTTTAAATGCTGAACTATAGCATTTTGAACATAAATATGAATTTATTTATTTTAGATAAATGTATTTGGAGACGTTATAATGTTACTTTTAATTTTAATAAGTAATATTCTAAATAATCTCAATTATAATAGTAGGTAAATTAAACATTAGAGTTTGATAGATGGTAAGAACCTAAGCTAAGGTTTTGAATATATCGTAGTGTACCTGAATACAGTATGGCGAGCAGGGCTGCAACCAGCAAGGGTCCGCGCGAGCCGGCCCTCATGGCGGCTTGGCGGCGCGCACTGACGCACTCGCCGCGTCCCGCCTTCCCACGGCGCAGACAAACTGCAGGGCCGCACCAATATTACCTTTTTATTTAAAATTTTTAAATTGTCAATAAGTATATTATAAGATGCTGTGTATTTTAGAAAATTCCAAGTCTGTGTAAATACACAGTTTGTTAAATAAGGTATTTTTGACAACTATAATAGTCACCAAATATTGTTCCTCTTTTTCTCTCTTCTTTAGGAATGTTGTCTGTGATTATACATATATAAATATATGTCTAATGTATATGTACCATTTTAAAATAGTTGTTACTCATTTATTGATGTACTTACTTCTTAGGAGCTAAATGTAACGTTCATGCAAAATCAATTTCGGTATGTGTTTCAACTCTGGCTCATGTCAAGGTGTCGGGCACAAGCTTTTGTAAAAAATATAGTTACTATGTGCTGTTCCAGACACTATTCTATGTGTATGCTAAATTTCATTTAGATACATATCTACCGTTTACGTAACCGTTTTGGAGTTATCCGCTAAAACACCCTTCCATTTTAACTTTCGTATTTATAATATTGGTAAAATTATGTCGAGTAACATGTAATTAAGTAATTGGGTATTGGTAGAGTCAGCAGCAATAATTGCTGGTTTAGGAATGGTTAGCCTTACCGCTTGACCATTCGACAGGTGAAAAACCTCGACCACACAGAAGGTTCTATGTGTCGTCTTATGGTGTGTGTGTGTCAGTGTCCAAATTTTAGCCTCTTTATTTTTCTACCTTATTGTAATTAGGAATGAGTCGGAGGGGAAGTGAATTTGACAGAGGAGGGGACGTATTTATTCAGATTTCATCATTCAACAACTATGGTCTTTATTTTAAATCAGATAATATACTATATTGGTGTTAAATGTGACGTTGCGGTGAAACACTTCGGTCCCTGCTCGGGATACATTTTAACTAAACAATGTTTTGATTGTGGAGAGCGCGCAGCGCGCATGTGCAGGCTATCCCTCGGGATAGCATCGATTGTCTTCAGCCAGGCTGGTTGCGTATAAACGTCTCCCTGGGAATATAGGTCACCTTCAATATTGCAAATATATTGGGCGTTACTATGCGGCGGGCTCAAAATTAAACAAAACAATTTTTTATTCGTTTATATTTATTAAACAAAGTGCAATTCAGAGTATTAACCCTAACAATTGAACAAATTATGGGGACGAACCATTCGTCCTAACGTAGACGGTAATTAAGCGAGTACACTATCCAATAGTAGATAGTCGTATCCTTTGCGATACATATTCGCTAAGCTTACCGTCCCATAAGTTACACAACCGATTTAAAGGTTGATAACTTAATGTATAACAACAATAAAAATTGGGGATAACAGAAAACACCGGGCCAAGAATCATAGACGCTCCGCAACTTCCAAAAGGAACGCCTACGACTATTTAATAGCACCACCTCGAAAAAACAAAACACTGAAGGACTTGCGCGGGTACATTTATATTTTTGTCAGTATATATCCACGCAGTTCCTTACTCTATTGCGTTTTATTTTCAAGAGGCTAACAATGTTTTCAATAACAATAAAATGGGTTGGATGAACAAAATTAAATAATGTACATGGGGTTAGGGAAATGGAAAGGATTATATGAGCGGTTAGATAGTGGTTGAAATTTAAGTGGAATAATATTGATTGTTTGTTGAAAATACATCGAGGACAGCAATAATGATGATGAACATAACATGGCGATTAATGTAAAGAAAAACTAAAAACATGTCCAAATTCTTATATCAAAACTATTATAATATAATCAATTATGTTTCGATATAGGAGAAATTCCGTAAAAGCTAACATTATTTCAGCAGTATTAAAGAAGTCGGTACAAACGAGATATCACCATGTAATGTATTTATTTGTATAAGTTGTTCCGAAAGACCCGGGTATGATTTTAATAAAATAATACTTTGTTTAACTACAAGTTTTAACGAACGTTTTATTAAGCTATTAGCCTGGATATTTGACCATTTTATAACAATATCGTCCCGTTCACAACGAGGCGTATCACAACCTGTACCAATTGAATTAACATCGTTTGTAAACCTCTATACTAACTACGGACACAAATACATCCGAAAACAAACTTAAGGATTACGACCACGATTCACGGAATCGAACGAGAAGAAAACGCGGGCCCTCGCTTCACTGCCCAGAACCGAATCTTAAACTGTACATATACATTTACGATTTCAAGAAAGATTTAACAAAGTTTTAAATTTAAAATCCAACAGGTCGTTCAACGGTAAGAAGGAAGACGTTTTTGTGCTCATATTGGTGAACCGGCCGCAGACAAAGATGCTGCTGCGGTCGTTCGACACGGCGCGGCGACTAGTCTAGCGTGGACTTCTACAAGCGCCGGGGACTTCACTGCCTCATTTTACTATTTAATATTGACCCGGGAACCGAATGTCTACTCGGAACCACTCATCATAGGATTGCTGGCTTTCGGTATTATTTGTTTATGGGACATCTGTAGATCAACACTTTACATGCTCATCTACGTTCGGATCTACGCTCATATTTGTTTAAAAAGTTAAGGACATCAGTGGGGTAGGCAGTAGTCGGTTGAGCGCACGGGGTTGGCAGTCAGCGGTAACTTATAACTATAGGGCGGCGCGGATGCAGAGGCAGGCAACGTCCTCTTCGACGTTGCGGCGTCGGCGTCCGCGCCCCATCGCACATCACAACTTAACAAGTATTACGGTATCACAGAACGTTACGCGCGCGCAGTCGCAGGCGGGCGGCTCGCTACGACACCATGATGTGCGGCGCGGACAGCAGCACGGCGAGCGTGGCGATGATTGTGAACAGGGTAAAGATAATAAGGCACAGTCTGTCCACGACCATGGCGGCGAACTTCCAATCCCGCGAAATGTCCGCATCTTCGTCATCTTTGCGCATCTACAATATTTTTTTTGGTTTAAAAATATTTATTACATAAATTATTAAAAAAAATATATAAATTTATACTTGATCTGTGATGACTCTGATCTCTTTGAGAATCAGCGAGAGTTCGTAGTCGACACCGAAGCAGCTGTGTGCCGCGAGACCTGCGCCGTTCTCTTCGCCACCCCTGAAACAGACGAAACCCTAGAGCTATCTGTTTGACCTGCACTCTATCCTACGGGTGGACCGAGGATCGGAGGGTAACTACGGGAGTTATGCCGATAAAAATGAGATAGATTTTACCATGACCCATGATAGACGTTCTACAGAGAAGATAGTTACTAATTCTACGAAAGAAATGTGAAATTCGAATGAGTGGATGTAATTGTTATAAGCTATTTGGGTCAGGTGTACTGCGGAACGTATCGGGCGGGGGCGTAGTATTGTAACCGTTCTATTTACGGCGAGTAGTGTTCGTGTAGATCGTCGAGGGACCTGTAGTAGCGGCAGCAGGGCGGTTGCTGCGCGTGCGCGTGCCGGAAGTCATCGTCTATGTCGAGCACGTTGGCGAGCAGCGATTTGGAGGAGCGCTCGCGCAGCTCGAGGTCGGGCGGGGGAGGCGCGCGCGCCGGTGGCGGCGTCGTCGCCGACCCCGGCCGCGACATGCGCAGGATCCACGGTAGCCAGTACAAGAACACGCACCGGATCTACACATAAAAACATTGCCCTGCATGAGATCTTGGGAACCAGAATTTAATAAAAGTATAAATCAATTTCTCATATTATTATCTGATAAGAACTAAATTCAAAAGTGCAATTTACAAACATACCCAATCACTCATTTCGTGTGTGTCCGCATGCCGATGGTGGTAGTTGAGGATAAGTATAGTTGATACGACAGAAGAGGCCACCATGAACATGATGCAGTTGAAATATGTACCCAGAAGTGGGACAGCGTCTGAAGTGGCGGGCATTGTTTCTGCTACCATGTTTAGAAACACAGTTAGCGACAGCAGAATTGTTACACCTAAATAAAAAAATATTGTCGTCATAATATTGCAAAGCAACAGAATAACAATGTAATATACTAATAATGCAGAGTCCATACCGAGGGAAAGTTTTTCGCCGGAATCTGGTGGTAAGGTGAACCCTAAAAGTGCCATAGAGGCAATCAACACGCAAGGTACGATAAGATTGAAGAAATAGTACAGCGTTTTTCGTCGGATCACCACTGCAAATGTGATATCAATATACGGCTCCGGACAGCAATTGTAATAGATTTCATTTCTCTTCCCCGGAACCCCTGAACATAAGATTAACAAATCATTTCACACAAATCGTTTGATCCTAATCAACATTTTTGGTAACCATTCTCCCCTTCACGCTTTACCTATTAGTTCCCATTCGCCGTTTGTCACAAAACTGCTTATATCACCACCAGCTTCATCTTGTAATTGCAAGTCAAGCTAAAAACAAAGCGAATTCAAAACATCTAGTAAAACTAGGTCAAATCTGATTTTGAAGTTGAATTTGAATTTGAATACGTTGGTTACAATATCGACTTACTTGGTATCCATCGTATGTCCAGCTGCCAAACTTCATCTCGCAGCGTTGGTCGTCGAAAGGGAACCAGGTGATATCAATTTTGCATGTGCTTTTAAAAATACCCGGCGGCACGTACAGACACGAGCCGTTGTTACGAACCACCACATTGGTCGGATATGTGCTATCAAATCCTTCGTCCGCGCTTTGCAAATAAATTGTTTTTAATTAATGATTACAATAATTAAACTTTAAAATGCTTTTTATTTATCTTAACTATGTAGGTTTAAATTATCTAATTTAACTTAATTTTATTTCACTATTTATAAATCATTTATTCTTTCAATTTCGTTTGATGTGAACAATGTCAAGATAGTAGGCATAGAAAGTCAGTGGTGAAATCAAAACGATCGCTTCTCAAAATTAATGAAAATAAATAAATGAATTTGTGTATAAACAACATGGCAGTATAGCATACTATTACTTTGAACTCAACCTACCTATTGTACATGAGTACGTCAGGTTTCCATAACCTGTGAGGTGGTACTCGCAAATCTTTGACACCACCAAAGTCCGAAGTGTTCCACCTTAAGTTCATATCATTCCATTCCTAGGAACAATGAGCATTGTAATTTGTTGTTTTATCGTATGAAACAAAGTATTTTTTTTATTAAAAAGATTGAATATAAAATAATTTATGTTGTTGTTAAGCGCCCGTGTTACACGACTTGTACCACACATATTTTTGGGAAAGAAGTAATACTTTGAAGAATTGAAAACTGAATGATAAAGGAAAAGTAAAAAAGGAACTGAAAATATGAAATATATTTTTCGTAATAAGTATGAATCTCGACTGATAGTCGGATATTGCAAATACCCTGGCCGCCGTAAACCCCTATATTGAGGCAAAATCAATAAGAACACGATATCAGTCACTGAAGTGTGTATTCAGGGGTTTCAGAAAAAAAGTCAAAACGCAACAAAATCATGTAGAATAGTTACATAAATTCGATGTAAAAATTACTGATATAATTAGGCGCTTCACAACTTGTCAATAGTAGCTTAAGAAATAATGATATAGACAAATTATAAATTATTTCAGTAGAAGAGATCGTTGTCTCGCTATTCTGGCAATAATTGCTTGTAACGAAGATCTTTTAGTTATAAAATCGATTTGAAAAGTGCCCGTGTTAGCTAAAAGCATTGTTATAGAAATGTATTTTTAAACTGATATTTAAATAAAGCCAACTGAAATTATCATTTATTTCTAATAATTAAGAAGGTGCTCTATGCAAATTAGGAAAATACTTCATTTCAGATTTTGTAATTAGTTATTATTTATCAGTTTAATACAAATTATTTCTTTAAGTATGTTTATATCTTTTCTATGTCGTTATACTTACTAATTTCAGCCAGATGTTTGTTATTAAAAGCTGATTCTTCTCGTCCTGTGAAAATATTTTATGTTAAAAAAACTATAAACTATTTAACGTACCATTAATTTTTAAATAACCATCAATAATTAAATAGAATTATTGTATTTATTTCCTTCAGGAAAGTTATGAAATGCAACTAGGACTTTTAAAAAATGATAATAGTCCTAAACAGGAAACAAGGATTGCTTGGAGATACATATGATGAGTAAGAAACGACTCATTCAGAGATGACTATGATGGTGACATACCACGTCGATGATCTGCATGAGCGTGAGGCCGAAGGAGAGTTGCAGCGGGTCGCTCTCGTTTACGACGGGCCGCTCGAGCACGTTGTAGTGGTCCAGCAGGTGATGTAGCAGCCGCTTCTCGTGGTAACCACACCACACTCCTAATTAAAAAATAATAATTTCTCAATTTGTTACAGATCTCTTTATCTATTTATGCAATTAGCGATAGTACAGCCACGGTCAGAAAAATACCTTGTTAATGTGACAAAATTAATTACGTGTTACGATGACTACAAACTATAACGCTATTTATCAAGTATTGTAAATTAATAATGTCATTAAAATGATTAAGAAATGTATGTACATTATCGTCAGTTGTATGTGCCACATAGCCGATGTTTTGGCTATAATTCAAATGATACGAGGTCACTCGGTATTGAGGAAAATTTTTGCAAGGCAATTGAATTGCGATGCATTAACACGAATTGATTACAGCAGTTGAATGCTCAACGACGTTCCTCTCTCTTTGTAACTAGGCTACCGCACACATTAGTCACATCTGCATTCCAACTATGCCTAGATTTGATTCTTTAATGTTCTATACATATAGTAAGATAACTATATCAAAAATATAGTAATGATGACCCTTTTAACTTTGAAGCCATCCAAGGTGGAAAAAAATCTTAATAGCAATCTTTTCCTTGGTAGAGTTTAATTTTAAATATTATAGGATTAGTCATGGAAAATCTTAGCTTAACCCATCTTTACTTGGTAGTTCAGTCATAAATCTTGTTACCTACTTTCAACCTGACTTTTAAGATACAAATTCTATATTTTATCCGTTCATGTCACACCACGATTTCATCTTAACATAGGCCACATGTTTAAATGATTATGTTAAGATGGAATCTCTTTGCATACGAAACTTTGATGGCCCAACATTAACATCCATATATAACGAGGTCTTACATTCAACTTGTAGTGTGGTGTAGTATTTTATGTCTGATGTCAGCGTATCTATTACCAAAAGGAAGAGATATCTACGCCTTATAGCCATAAAACGGTATCCGTTGTCTCCCGTTTTAGTGTAAAACCAAATCGGATTCAAGTTAACTCACTCTCCTTTCTGATTCTTCCTTTCGTAGTGGACGCTTCTTTCTTTCTCAAGCTTTCACAGTGTGTCAAATATGTTAAATAAATCTCATTGGCTATTAACTGTCAACAATTGTTTGTACTTAGTACATAATTTTATCAGGCTGGTAAGCGCGGGCTAAACTTTCGGTAGTAGTCGATTGTTTGTGACTTTTTCAACCCTGATGGATAATAATGTGGTTCCAACTCGTAGTAGTTTTATAGTTACCTGACAGCCCTTATGATCAATGAAGTCGCTTCCCCGTTTATTGATCTCTTACTTCTACGACCAGTTACATAGTTGAAAAAAAAATTGCTTGTTAGAAAGATTTCGGGGTCAAACATTAAATTCTCTCACAATTCAGGTAGTCTGGAAATTGGAAGGGATGGTAAATGATCAAGTATAGGGAATAAAGGGAATGTGTTCTGTGATCTTACCCCTCGGCCACATCAGGGCGAGCAGCAGCAGCAGCAGCGCCGCGGGCGCCGCCAGCGGCTCGCGGCGCGCCCGGCCGGCCATGTCAGCGCCGCGCCGCACCGCGCGCCGCCGCCGCCG